GCATCGGTCCTGGGAGCGCTCGCAAGGGTTTAGGGCTTTGGGTTTAGGGTTTAGGGTTTAGGGTTGCTTCCAGGCCTTAATAATTAGACTAGGGTTCCTTTAAAAGGGCTCCCTAAAGGGGTCTATAAAGGGCCACTATAAGGGCTACTATCAGGGTTTGGGGTGTAGGGGCCTAATTAGAATAGGGTTTCGGGGGCCTTAATAATTAGAGTAGGGTTTTGGGGGTTCCTTTAAAGGGGTCTATAAGGGCTACTTAGGGGCCTTCAGAATTAGAATAGGGTTTTGGGGGCTCCTTATTCTCATTTTGGTATGCTATACTATACCCCCAAACCCTAAACCCTAAACCCTAAACCCTAAACCCTAAACCCTAAACCCTAAACCCTAAACCCTAAACCCTAAACCCTAAACCCTATTCTAGTTAGTAAGGCCCCTATATCAGGGCTCTGGGTCTGGTGCTTAGTAGGGAATGGGGGAATGGGTTATCGGGACTACTACCAGGGACCTTAAGGGACTCTCATAGGGATCCGTTCCCCCACTCCCTACTACGCACCAGGCAGTTTTGGGTCAGGTAGTAAAGTTTAGAGGGTTTGGAGGTTCCCTGAGAGCCCAATACCCCTTAAAAATAAGGAATAGACCTTATAAAGTATAGGGGCGTTAATATTGTGATTCAAGGTATATTCCTTAATCAAGGGGTATTGGGCTCTCTCGGTAAATAGAGGTTTTGGAGGTTGAGGACGCAAGTGTTGGGAGATTCGCGGGGTTTCGAGTGTTTGGAGGTTTAGGAATTGGGGTTTAAGGTAGGCTTTGGCTTGCTTGGAGGTTTGAGGTTTTAGGGTCGGTGAGTGTGGAGATCAGATCTAGGGTGCCATGCAAAACCCTAAACCCTAAACCGCACATTAAAAAAACCCTTAAAGCCCTAAACCCTAAACCCTAGACCCTAAACCCTAAAAAACACATTAAAAAATCCTAGAACCCGAAACCCTAAACCTTAAAAAACACACATTTCAAGAAAACCTTCAAAACCCTAAAGCCTTAAACGCCCCATGCAAACGAGCCAGGGTCTGAGGCAACCAGCGTGTGGACTCAGAGACTCCAATATCCCTTAATTAAGGAATATACCTTAAATCATATTAGGGATCCCTAATCCCTAAACCCTTAAACCCTAAACCCTAAACCCTAAACCCTAAACCCTAAACCGTGGTATATTCCTTAATTAAGGGATATTGGAGTCTCTGGGGACCGCAAGTTGGGCCGTCTCCAGGGTCCCCAGAGAGCCCAACTCACCCCTTAGTTAAGGAGTATAGGGTTTAGGGTTTAGGGGTTTAGGGGTTTAGGGTTTAGGGTTTAGGGTTTAGGGTTTAGGGGTTAGGGTTTAGGGATTTAGGGTTTAGGGTTTATAGGGTTACAGGGTTTTAGGGTTTTAGGGTTTAGGGTTTTAGGGTTTCAGGGTTTAGGGTTTAGGGTTCAGGGTTTAGGGAAGGGATCTATAAGGTTCTCACCTGGCGGACTGGATCGGGTGCTCAAAGAAGCCCAAAAGAAATTCCTGCCATTCCCTCACAGTTGCATGGTTGCTGCGATGTGACTTGAAGCAAAGTATGCTTGGACCTTGGACCGCATCTTGAGGCTTTCGGGCTCGCACTTCCGAGATGATGCCCGTGCATGGCATCGCCCATGCTCTCGCACTCACAATGCTGTCCGGAGACGCATGAAGAGTGGTGGAGATAGTTTCGGTACAGTGGCAACTCAGAAATGCTCTGCTCCTTGGACGGACCCGCGAACCCAAGAGCCGAAACGCATCCAAAGGCAGAGCTCGATGCTTTCGTATGTGGAATATGTCCGCATGTCACTGGGCGATCGTTTCGCGAGTCAGAGTGGGCGTTTGCACGAGGTTTGAAGGGGTCCCGCGGCAAAGGACAGCTTTGCTGTCAGGGTTGGGGTCCAACAAAGGGTTTCTGGAGCATTCGTTCATCGCGTGCGGGAGCTGAGGGCTTCGCTCTGCATATGTGATCCACGGGTTAACACTGCCCAGATGAAGAGGCTTTCGTACAGCACCAAATTCATTACCGACCCTCCTGAGGGTGTCACAAGGGGATTACTGTAACGAATGCCAGGTTACGGAATCTTGCATATTTGAGAGTTCAGCGTGAGCATGTGGGAACGTGGTGCCAACGCCCCACGATTTTTTCCTAGTTGCACCGTCTTTGCCGGATTTGGGTTGTCGCTTTCAGGAAGACGGAGGCCACAGCACAGTCGTTTCTAGCGAGGTTTGCTCGCCGTACAGTCCCTGCATCAAAGCAAGCTGAGATTAAATCCAGCACGGTGATTTGAGCATGCTTCTAGCTATAGGAACATATTTTCCACCATGATTCTTGTTTTGAACATGAGATGGCCCAGAGCCTTTCAGTTTGGGTTCCTGCGAGATGGAACTGTGATGTTCCTAGTACGGGTTTCTCCGAAAAATGTTCATTGTCCAATTGGGTGATCGCAGATATAACTTACACCATCCCGTTTGGGCTGATATCGAAAGTCGTCCGGAGCTTGGGGCACCAGGTTGGCGCAGCCTTCGAGTGTTGGCCGGGGACGCAGGCTTCCGGACGTTGGTGGGTATTTGGGTTTTTCACTCCGGCTTTGGGGAATTCGGGTCGAGCATAGTTTCCGCTGTCCGACATTCAGAATTGGAGTTTAGGGGACCCATCTGCGAAATGCCGATGCTACGGTAGGATACTATGACCAAAAAAGATAGCGTCTCATGCAAGTATACAGCACAAGGGTGGTATGACAGAGGTCAGTACGTGAAAAGAGCACAAACATGTTTTACATCTCAGTAAAACCATGAACGCAAAACAGTCTTACAACATCACAGCGGCAACCAGCTACTGTCAATGATATTTGAAGCGCAGTGGTGTGCATGCATGCA